ACTCCCGCTTTATGTTTGATCGTGTAGGTATAATCCTGGAGGAACTCAACCCAACGACCATGTCTAGCGTTCAATTTCTTTTGGGAGTGAATATATCGAAGAGCTTCGTGGTCAGAATATATGACGAATTCTTGTGGGAGCAGATAGTGACGCCAGTGTCGAAGAGATTGTATCACCGCATAGAACTCTTTATCATAGGTGGAATAACGTTGCCTAGTATCATTCAGCTTCTCACTAAAGTAAGCAACGGGATGTCCTTCTTGAGACAGGACTCCACCTATACCAATACCAGAGGCATCGCACGCGATTTCGAAGACTTTAGAAAAATCGGGCAGGCGCATAACAGGAGCCTGCAACATCCTTTGCTTGATCTCTTCAAATGCCTTGGTAGCAGCTTTTGACCACTCGAACTCACCTTTCTTCAAGCAATCGGTAACATGGGCCATGATGGTACTGAAGTCCTTGATAAACCGACGATAAAAAGTAGCGAGTCCGTGAAAACTTCGAACATCTCTAATGCTCTTGGGTTCGGGCCATTCTTTGATAGCTCTGACTTTCTCAGGGTCAGCGGATACTCCTTCAGACGAGACCACGAATCCTAGAAAAATGACTTGCTGTGTAAGAAAAGTACATTTCTTAGGATTAGCATAAAGTTGCTCTTTTCTCAACACGGCACAGACTTGACGCAGATGGTCCACGTGCTGCTCACGAGAGTTACTGTAAATAAGGATATCGTCAAAGTACACAACCAAAAATTTTCCAGTGAAGGGGCGGAGTACTTGAGTCATCACTCTCATAAAGGTGCTCGGAGCATTAGTCAACCCAAAGGGCATGACCATCCATTCGTACAATCCATCTTTGGTCTTAAAAGCGGTCTTCCATTCATCACCGGGACGGATGCGAATCTGATGGTAACCACTCTTTAGATCAATCTTAGAAAAGATAGTGGCTCCAGACATAAGGTCAAGCATATCATCCAACCGTGGAATGGGGAAACGGTATTTCACCGTGATCTTGTTAATCGCACGGCTATCCACACACATACGCCATGTTCCATCTTTCTTTGGCGTCAGTAATGCGGGGACCGCACAAGGGCTCATGCTTTCTTTCACAAAGCCCTTCTTCAACAATTCATCAACTTGCCTTTTCAACTCTGCATGCTCATTGGGATTCATCCGATAGTGAGGCAAATTGGGAAGGGATGCTCCCGGGACTAAATCAATTGCGTGTTGGATATCACGCATCGGGGGTAATTGGTCCGGGAGGTCTTCAGGGAAGACGTCAGAAAATTCGTCCAACACAGTAGCGACTTCTGGGGGAACCACGTTAAGAGCCTGATTCGAAACGCTATAATAAAAGAAATGCAACAGGCCACTCCACAAGATGTGCGATAACCTATGTTGCGTCGGTACGGATACAGGTACGGGACACGACATTTTTTTAAAAGGTAGGGTACAGGGACACGATTATCTAAATATTTATATACACAAATTATATATTGACATTACTAATTTATATGAAGGATAATAAGAATTAAAATTCCTATAATATGTTTATGTTTCTTTATTAAGTGGATTATAAATTAGAAAATAACTAGCTTTTGAACTAGACATCCAAACGAACCTTCAAAATCATCATTTGGAACCTAACTTGTGTCCAACGAGTTTTAAGAAGTGGATGTGAAGTGTAGGATATATGTCCAAAAAATGTATGATAAGTATCTTTAAATTAATACATGTATTTATAATTGAGTACATGCATGAATAAATGTATGCATTTATGCAAGGAGTATCCAAGGAATTTGGATACAGGTATGTGTCGGGTAGGGATACAACTTCAGATTAGAATTACCCAGGTAACAAAGGCAACAACAAAAGAAAAATGCACTGCATGAGAAATCTACATATTAGTCCACTTGATATTGTAAAGACAAAAGGAAGTGGAAAAAGGATTAAAGGAGGAAAGGAAACTACAATGTAGATAGCAGCAAAACCATCAAAATTGTGTTGTTGTTGCAAGAAACTAGTGCATCATGATACTCATAATTCCTCGATGAAAGAGAGGTTACTATACTCTTGTTTATTACATTTGGAATATTTATTTATTTTATTTGGTTAATTTTAATTCTAATTTTCATGTAGAATCTCATCTAATGAACTCGAGGGGCATAATTTCAATGAATCACAATCTTCGGTAGCTCTATCGGATAATCAATTGGGATCTGAGGAGACATGGAGGGTTAATCTTTTTATTTATTACAACTTTTGTATTTTTTTTCCTATTTAAATAACTCTTTAACTTCAAGTGGTAACATAATATGAGACTTAACCTTATGTTTAATGTTATTATCAATGTGTAATGCATGATATATGATTAATTTGATGGAGATGCTCCTTTATTTTCTTATTCTGTTGCTTTTCGATGGACTTTTCATGTCATTGGTAAGTCTATATAAACAAAGCGCCATATTGATTTAGAGTTTTTTCATGAATTTATACTTTTTTTTATTTTTCCATCTTAGGTTTTGGATTGTCATCTATTAGAAGACAAAGTTACAAATAAAGGACTGAAAGCTTCATTTAGGCACTTATTTATTAGAGACTATTTGTCTTAAAACGTTATCTTTTTATTATCGTTAAATTTTCGTGTTGTTTAGGTGTATAAACTACATATGGAGGCAGTGCAGATTGTTTTTTGCTTGAAAAGAGTAATGTTTAAAAAAAATATTTGGAGGGAGGTACTGCACTTTTTTCCAGAGTTCTTTTTCCTTTTGTCAATTATCTTACTATTTTTTATAAAGAAATAACTTGACGCATAAAATGTATAGGCTTACGAGCAGCTAAAGGTTCTTCATGATGCTTGTAATTTTCTTTGTCGTCGGTTCTTTCTTCTCACTATTTGATAATTTTTTTGAGATGTGTATTGACAAGTCAAGTTGGAACAAAACTCGAACTGAAGTATATGGCTCGTCTTAATAAGGTCACAGTTTTCTATGTTTTTTTTAATGTTTTCTTTTCAGTGAGTTCATCTCAGAAATTTATAACCATGTTTTTTAATTCTTTCTATTTTTATATCAGCGCAAAACGTAAGTTGTCTAGTTGTATGATTGTTATATTAATTTGGTTCAAGGTCATTGTCTTTTGATCAAGCTTGCATTTACTCAATTTTCATGAAAAATGCTAACCACTTATAATGTTGCTTTCTTTGACTCATTGTTCACAAAGATGCTAACTTTATAAGACATCTTTAATTAATAGTTTAAAAGATAACCATACAATAATTGAAGTGCAAGCTTACTCTCACAATGCTTTAGTTTAATTACTTTTATCCAAATTTCTACAATTCTTAACAACTATGTCTCTAATTCATGTTAAGTAATCAATTCATCATCAATTGTTAAAGGGACCTACAGGAGTATTCTCGCTAGTCAGAATCATCGCAAGTCATCATCGTCGCATTCTACATCAATTGTTCAAGGGCGATTGTTTTTCATGAGGTGGCATCTTTGCTTGCTCAGCTGAAGATTTTAGTGAAGGAATATGAAGTGGAAGAAAAGGGAAAAAAGGAAAGAAAGATGAGTTTAGCATAAGGAGGACCTATTAAATCGTAGAGAAGATCCTGAGTAGAAAAATCAAACAAGCATGGGGACCACTAATTTTTAGTTAATTAACCAATGAGTTTAAATCTAACAATTAGTTTTAATCTAATGATGTAGAATGGTCATATCACGTTAAGCAAACTATCTCACCATATTGTTTCTCTCTATATACACACAGATATATAAAGATTAATGGGTATAGTGATGCGAAACAATGTGATGCAGGTATGAAGATTAATGACAACAATGTTTCGCCAAATCAGCGATCGATCTAGGCAGGAAGCTCAAGAATAAAGTGTAGCCTTCGATGGTTTTTAAGCAAAAGTTGCAATGTACTAAGTTCAAATCTTTTGTAATGATCCAGAAAATAAATGTAATGATTCGTTCTTTCAATACAGTTCAAAGTGTAATATTTGGATAAGTAAAAGTACTTAGCAACAGATTCACTCGCTCACTTAATCAAACTGAATACAGCACAGATACGATTGATAATAATATTGATAGCAACATGCAAGCAATAGCAGTTCCGTAAATAACTGGGCGAAAGAAAGTTGAACCTTCGTCGGGTTGAACTGGTTCGATGGGAGGCTCCTCTGGTGGTGGTTCGTACACGCCAAAAATGAGGGGAGGAAGTTCTCCACCGAGGGCGGCGTAGTTCGGATGGAGCGGTGTATCTGGATGGAAACGCCGATGCCACGAACTGATTCCCAAGCTACTCTCTACGCTGTCAACGATCTGATGAGTCACACGCTCAACGTATTCGGGCACGCTCTCGAATGACTGATAATCAAACCACGGAGAAATCTGTAAATCTGCGATGCCGGTCTCTGGATCTAGCACAATTCCATCATCAGCATCAGGATCAGCCATACACCAACGGTCAACAGAATCGAGCAATCCCAAATGCAGATCAATACAAATGAACCCAAAATAAACAGATCTGAACCCACTTGGTTCGGTTCGGATCTGAACCAAACAAACCCAACAAATAAATAGGAAAGAGGAGGGGTCTGAACAAATCAACTCAGATCCAAGACTTCCTTCGTTCGTTGCAATGGAGAGGAGAAGGGCACGGACCGAAAACGGCGGCGGGGCGGGTGAAGTCGGGACGGCAGCGCTCGGGTGGAGCGGGCGGCGTTCGAGGCGGATCAGGATGGAGGGCGTTCGGTCGGGGAATCCGGCGGTCGGGTCGGAGGGCGAGGGAAATGGGGTTCTGGACGTCGTCGGATTTTGGGGAGGTGGGTTTTTAGGTTCTGGGGATTTTGGAGCGGGGATCTTGGTGGCGGTGGAGGTGGGTTTTGGGGAGTGGCGGGTCTTGGTTCGTCGCTGACAGGGGACGGGGAACGGGAGGCCGTGGTGGTGCGGTTGATGATGTTGGAGGGGGAGGCGACCGTCTCTCATAACCAAAATACAACCACTTAACTAATTAGCTGCCAAATGAAATTCGAAATTCAAAAATAAATTCAAATTTCAAACTAATTTATTACAATTGAAATCAAATCCATAGTGCTGCAACCTGGCGTCTCCTTCGCTGATAAACTCGGCGAAAATCCCGTGTATGTGTCCGGATGTCCCCATCAATAAAACTTTAGGATATGAATACATTTTGGGAGACAACCATAACATAATTGTAAATGTCTGTAAGTGTGTACTCAGGTTTACTATACATTACATGAATCTGTAAGTTGAAAATGACAAAATGAGAACCATACCTTGAATTAACTTTCACCAGATTTCAATAAATAGGTAACAGCACAGTAGAAACATAACAACAAGTTGTGATTGTTGAATTATGAAAAAATATTAATTGTAATAGCCGACTGTTCCATTTGAAAGAAAAAAAATGTTACCTCTGATATATCATCGAAGTTGTTTAGCTATGATTTCTGTATTAGAGGTCTCCTTCATAAGAAGAAACTCCAGAGATAATCCAAATATGAATGAAGAGACTCCCTGAAGAAGACGTCTCCTCCCAATTTCCATAAAAAGGAAAAAGTGATAAAAGGACTATCGAGAAACTCAACAGGCTTAATTGATTCTGTTCCTTTTCGTCGGCCATTGTGAAGCATCTCCTGAAATTACCAAGAATAGAAATGTCAGTTGACTATTGTGGCTGTAAAGGTTAAATTTTAAATAGATGGTCGTTAGCAAGACATGTCAAGAAAGAAAAAGTCACACATGTCAAGAATTTTGAAACAGTTATATCCTGTTTACATGATCATATAGCAGTCTATCAAGTAAAGAACCACACCATTAATCTAATTGATATGCATATAATTTATATGAGTATATGATTATTTGTAAAACATATACCAGTCTGTTGCACATCCACCAGCCCTCTTTAAAGCATTGGATGCAATTATCATCTGATGAATCTTAAGCAAGGAAAATAAGACCACTTCTCTAATAAATCAATCTCCCAACATAATTGGCAATCCGAAGGATTGAATTTAACCCCAACAAGGAACTCTTCGAACCAACACTGTCAAGTTCAACGCAACTAGACTGTCTATCTAATTGGATCCAGATCTACTTCACGATTAGCCTGTGCTTTGCGCAATCATCAATTTCCCACTTGCACAGAAAATGACTTCAAACAGAGTTGTTTGTAAGCTTCATCAAAATGGTCTCAGCCAAAATGGAGCTCCTGATGTTTCCTGAAATCATCTAACCAATACGCTCATCAAATAAACCCTCAGCATAGAGGATTAATCATGCAACCACAACACTCAACATTTTGAATACCCTGCACGATCTCATCAGATACTTCAGGGTTTTAAGCCCAATGCTGACCTCGACAAGTACTCAAAACACAAATTTTTTGAACATGATTGCAGCTCCCAAGCCAAGATTTCACATACCCAGAATCAAATTTCTCTCACCCATTTCATCGAACAACTTGAGGGCAGCATCAAGAAACCCAGGTTTTTTAAATGAGCCATGCCCAACTGATCTTGAGTAGTTAAATGGAAAATCTCTCTGTGCATAACGGACACAAATCAACGGATACTACTTTAAAGAACTGAGTTGGTAAAATTACCAGAAGTTGTAGCCCAAAAAAGGCTCGATATAACTTCAATTTCAATCACCAAAGAGATGTAGGCTCACCAACCACACACTTTGTATTTCCTCGAAAAATCTGAATAAAGGGAAAGATACACTTCGTGACAGTAATTTTTTTTTTTCCAAACTTTATTTTTCACTTTGTGCGTTCCTCGGGGCGTGCTTTCCACGTGTGTAGGTAAGTACGCTACAAAATGTGATAATTATTCATACTTTTTTTTAGTCATTATCATTTTCTTTTTTAATGATCCATTTCATTTGGCAAAGAAAATGGATTTGTCTTCATTAGAATACCACGGTATAGATAAAAAAAAATTATCTACAATTTCAAAACATGTGAGTATTGTTCCGAATCATATAAGAACATCTCCAACAGCTTCTCCAAAATTTTCTCTAAAATGGGGAAGCAAAAGTCATATTCTCCAACTAATTTTTACACCAACTCCAACAGCTTCCCCATTTTAAAGAATCCATTTTTTTCTCCAAAATTTTGGAGAATGCTGCAGATTTGGGGAAGCTTCCCCATTTTTTCTCCTTCATCCCTATTTTGGGGAATGAGATGGGGAATCTGTTGGGCCAAAAACCTAACTAAATTCTCCAAAAATGAGAAATGGGAAAGCTGTTGGAGATGCTCTAAGAGTAGAGAAATGCTAGCCACGGTCACGAGCGTACCGCACGCAGTGCACTCATAACGGTAGCAAGCACGCCTCGAGTATGGTTGAAAATCTCAAACCGTGCTCTTCAATCTTTATTTTTATGACTTTTTTTACTGAAAATCTCTTAATAAATATAGGTTTCTTTAATTAAAAGAAACTTAGGTATTATTAGCGGATGATCAGCGCTTAATAAAGAACTCAAACAAAAGTGGCAATAGTTTTTCACATCAAAAAAGGTTTTCATTTCAACGGACACAACATAAACACCTTTCTCCTTTCTCTGGTCTGAAAATAATGCGTGTTTTTCCAACTTCTCATTTTCTGTTTTCTTTTTAACAAGCTTTGGTGCCTATCTTGTTAGAATTAAACATTTAATTAGATTTGTCATATGTTAGATTTTTTTTTTTAAAGGATCATATGCAAGCATATAGAAACACCAAATTCAAATATTTTAAATCACAGGCATGGGACGTGCCTAAAATAAACTCCCAGAATGTGAAGACGCTTCTTAAATTGTGCCTTCACGATCTCAGCCTATGCCCCTCAAAGAAGCTCATACCCTAAAAAGATCTACATCTCATAAATTAACAATAATACAACAATTACATCTGATCCACACAGCTTTAGCTCTGCAGATACAGGTTAAATACATTTGAATACCCAGTAAAAAAAAAGAAGGAAAAAAGGGAACTAAAAATATTATACATGACACTTTGTATACCATGAGAAGAAGATTATTTATAGTACAGATTCATCGGCTGAGCGGCTTTGGGCAGAAGATCTCAAGCTCGCATGGGAGGATGTTTACCCGTGTATTCAATCACCTCAAATTTCCAAGTACAGGATGCAAACAAACCAGCTTCCGTAGCTTTCCAAGCTTTCAAGTACCACGGTGACTACGAATCGCTCCAACGATCATCATCTTCTTCTTCATCACTCCCTGCACATGCCTGTAGAAAGAAACATATTAGGCATATCTACGACAAGCAAACTATACGCTGATAGATATGTTGCATAATGTATAAACAACTCTTCATCGAGCAGTAGTCCCTGAGGATTTTCTACAAAACCCGACAAAAATTTAGCTGTTGGACCCAAACTGGCCTTGATGAAGGTGTGGATCCAACAGCAATCACATCCATAAGAACCATTCAATGTCTGCTCTTGCGTCTTACATTGGTAACAATTTGTTTCCAGTTCTATCTGGTGATGCCGGAAGGAAACTGTTTAATATTGTATAAAGTAGGAAGCACACCTGGCGGATTGCATTGGCCTTCTCCAAGATGGCAGCAACCTTTAGGTTTGTCTGAGGAACCCCCTTAAAATTTGGCTTCTTTGAGTCTACTGGTTTAAGGTTGAAGGACTGAAAGCGCAAAGACATCCATAGATGAGCTACAGGTCATTTTGAAGAAAAATATGTAATTTCAATGTAAAAAACTGACTTTATTCTTTATCTGGTCGAGTAATGAATCTTTCTCGTCTTCCACCGGATTGACTGAAGGACGATCAAGCTCTGATACCTTCCTCAACTGCAATAACATGAAAACTTTAACGACCCAAACATAATAACAAATTTCCTAACTAATAATTTCTAGAGAAAGAAGCATCATCATTACCATGCTTTTATCATGAGCAGCAACGGCCTCAATCAGAGGATCTCTAGGTCGATCACGAATAGAACGATACCTCGGCTTCTCCCCTTCCACTGTTGGTACCATGAAGTTGTACATGGAGGGTGTATTCTCTCCCATTGAATATAAAAAACCATATGGAAGCATGTTTGGCCCCCTAGCTACAAGTGGAGCTGGCAAGTAAGGATGTTGCATACTTTCACCTCCATAAACTCCGTAATTATATGGTTGTTTCCACTCTTCTGGAAGTGGTCCTACCAACAAAGGGTTCAGAGGTGGCATTGATTCTGTAGCTATACTCAGGTTTCCTTGCTGAGATCTCTTCAACTCTAAACGCGACAATAAATGGCCAACTTGAGGCATCCTTTGGTGTCCGTGATGACCCTCTTCAAGTGTTGGAACTGATACAAAATTACTGCTTAAAATCTTTCCATCTGCTGCATGGGGTGCTACTTGAAATGGACTTGAAGGGATTGCCATTGCTCCATCTAAAGGTAAGGTTCTGTGCTTACTCTCTTCATTTGGGATCCATGGTAACTCGGATGATGGTGCTACTTGAAATGGATTTGACGGAATTGCCATTGTTCCATCTAAAGGTAAGGTTCTGTGCTTACTCTCTCCACTTGGGATCCATGGTAACTCGGATGATGTTAAAGGCAGCACAGTTTCTTTCTCTAAAATTAAAGATCCGTGCTGGGACCTCTCTTTTTCTGCCAATGGCAAAGATATAAAAGAGTTTCCTGGTTGAACCATGTCAACTGCAGTTGTCACTGAACCTTGTGGTCCTGTTCTTACTTCCATGAATGGACTGGTTACTAGTTGAGACCGAATAGTATCTCCAGACAAAGAGCTCAATGGAAGTTTTCCCAATCTCCACTGTAAGGGGGGAAGTGGAGGAAGTGGTGGTGCTTCAATGACATTTTGCGATTCATCAACATCTTGTGACTGAAAACTGGAAGTCGGCCCTGAGCATGATTCTGGTATTCCCTGCATGCTAGTTTCTGAAGTGGCTTGGCTAGAGCTTGCAATGTCAGTTTCTTCAAAATTAGTTTCAGAAATGTCTTGGCTAGGACTAATGATGGCATCTACCAGGCTATTTTCAGAAATGGCTTTGCTAAAGCTTAAAACAGAAGTTGATTTGCCTGGCCACATTTCTGAATTTTCTTGCAGGCTAGTTTCAGAAATAGGATGATCAATGCTTGTAGCAGAGGTTTCATGAATATTAGCTTCAGAAAAGGATTGGCTGGAGCTTGTATTGGACGACACTCCTGTAGCTGAAATAGAGGACATAAAGGATACAGAGATTTCAGAACTACATCTAGATGCAATAGAAGACTTATACTCAACTTTCTCCAGCATGCTGATATTCAGCAAAGGTATATCAACTTCATTTGTCTTACCATCATTGACGACACAGGGCACTGGTTTTGATGGTTGGGCTGCAAGGTCACTAGAGATTCTTCCCCTGAGATTCTTTTCACTCCTGCAGCTTCTTTGAAATTGGGTATCTGAAGCCTCGAGATGCTCACCGTCTTGTTCTGGAG